ATGGGGTGAGAGACAGTGTCGAAGGCCTTCCTAAAGTCCAGAAAGACTACGACCACTGCTACCCCTGTGTCTAAGGATTTTGTGACCTGGTCATAGGAGGCCACCAGGTTGGTCTGACAGGACCTGCCTCTAATGAACCCATGTTGGTTGCCCCTAAGCATAATCTCCCCTGCTGGCCCCTCGTGGACATGCACCAGGGTAATTCTCTCAAAAAGCTTACCCACAACCGAGGTAAGGCTCATTAGTCTATAGTTTCCTGGGTCCTCCTTCCTCCCTTTTTTGAAAATGGGAACCACATTGGCCCTTTCCCAGTCCTCTGGCACCTCGCCAGAGTACCATGGGTGCTCGTAAAGTCGTGCCAGGGGTCCCGCAATGACCTCTGCTAATTCCCTCAGCACTCTGGGGTGGAGATTGTCAGGACCAGCTGATTTACATATGTCCAGTCCCTCCAGAAGTTCCCTGACTAGATCCTCACTGACCTTAGGCCTGGGTGTGCCTCCCCTGGGCCTACAGAGGTCCCAGTGGGGGGTGACGCGATCCCTGCTCAGGAAAATGGAGGCAAGGAAATTGTTAAATAGGTTAGCTTTGTCATCTGGTGCGATGACTGGATTTCCTAGCATGTCTTGCAGAGGCCCCACATTACCCAGTACCTTCTTTTTACCCTATGTATTTAAAAAAGGACTTCTTGTTGTCCTTGATCTGGGTAGCTAGCCCCATCTCACACCCTGGAATATAAAACACCTTGTTTTTGAAAAGAAAAAAAATCTTCCTGTTGTGAGTAGCAGCTGCTAGGGAGCTGAGTGCTTGTTGTCCTGCTCCCAAGGAGTTGTGTGCAGAATTTATTTTCACTTTTGCCCATAACTGGCAGACACTGTCCTTACCATATTTCTGATATATAATGTGCACTCAAATTTCTAGCTGCTACGTTTTAGGGGAAATGTGGATTGTGTGCATATGAAAATCCCCTTAACGCTAGTATGTTTCAGGCTCCCTCCCCACTCTCACCCCACTTCATATTTCTTTAATTTACAAATTCAGATCTCATCTCGCTAGGGAACAGGGATGATTAGAGAACAAGTGAAAACAGAGGTCATCCAAACAGATGAAAGCTGAGCAACTGTAACTCTTATCGCTATTTACCATCCCCGCTGAGTCCCAACATGGTTGTACAGCTGTCTGCCTTTGAGATTCAAAAACTCTGCTCACCCAAAGGTGTTCCAATTCACAGTAAGCAGGGAAAACCACCCCCACCGCAAGTCTTCCACAAACACTAGAGAAAGTTTAGAAGCGGAAACAATGCTTCTATTTGAGAAAATGGCCTTTCAGATTAAACAATAGCATTTCTAAACTAATTTTTAGTTCACTTTTCTAGCTCTCTGAATATGGCATAATATCTGCTGCCTTTTAACTTCATCTGGAATCACTCTTCTGCATCTTCTCTTGTTGGTCTCCCTATTCCCTATTTTTTTACCTGCCCTTCTGAGTACTACTCTTTTTCCCTCCTATGTAGATCTCTGATATGGTCTTGTGAGCCTCCCGCTGCTCTCGCTCCCAGTTCTTCAGGTTGCTATGCGGCCAGCCTATTTGCTAAGATGAACCAAGTCAGCAGATGACAAAGACCCAGACTTAAAATCTGTCTCGTTTCATTTAATGAAAATAAACAAAATGCGACTGTCAGTTACAGGTTGCTTGGCCTTGAAAGAAAGCAAGCAAATAACCACCTTTTAGACATTTTAAGAAATGTAAAAACCTTTTTTTGACATTTTGTTAGGTCATATATGTCTGTTGTTTCAGATAAACTGGAAGTCGAACTGAACAGGAAGAGCAAGGGTTTGACAGCAATCCGTAGATTTTGAAAGAATAGAAATAAAGTGAGAAGGGTGTTGACTGGAGCTCCAAATGAGCAATCTGTTTCTACAGCTTCAAAAAGAAGTCGAACTAATGGGCAGTAGAACAGTAGTATCTCTGCTGCAGACCCAACAAAATCAGCAGAATTGCACTAGGTCTGAGTTTAGCCCAATGTGTCCAATTCATCAAATGTTCTGTTTCACATTTTAATAGGTAGGGCAAAATACTCTATTCTTATTCTTAATTCTTCTCTAACCTGAGAAATAAAAAAAAATGTTCTATAAATTGCCATATTCTCCAGTACTTGTGGAGTCTAAATGAACCAATGAGGTAACATATGAGGAAGAAGAGATTTTTGGATCACTGCACAAAGCATCTTTCTTTTGGGCTATTAAATGGAAATAAAATGGTGAGGCAAGAGCCTGAAGGTGACTAACAATGCTGGGAAAAGCTGGTGCGGTCTGAGGGTGAGGGAATACATTGCAAGATCCTTTGGAATAAAGGTGGAGATGTCTTACTCTAGCTACAACTGTTAAAAGGCAAATCGAGATGCAAGTGGACATAAACGGTGTCTACAGATACAGGGGAAAAAACGGCACTTACAGATGTAGAATAACAATAGCCAAGCACAGCACATGCTCAGAAGAGGCACTGCGTTAGTTGGACCTGGCTCATATATATCGGGCACTCCAGTGTGGCTTTTTGGTGCTTTTCTCTAATAGCTAATTGAGTCAGCTTTAGATAAAAGCACCAAAAAGCCCTGCTGAGGCACCCAGTCTGATGCTGTACAGCTGGATCAAACTAACACATTTGCCTCTTCCAGTAAAGCACTGTTTTCTTTTGTTTTGTTTTTCACATCTGTCAGCACCCAAAATGCTACTTAGATCATTTTTTAAACTTTAAAAAAAGTCTTAATCTGGTGGAAGGGAAAAAGGTGAGCTGGAGGGAGACAGGTGGACCTGACCTATGTTTAAATTTTAGGTTCTGTGATTCATTTAAAACGAATCTATAACTATGAAAGTACTTAAAATACCAGAAGGAATGCATCTCTCTGCACAGCTGCTTTACATTTTTTGGTCATCTTCAAGTAGAAGCACAGGCACCTGAATTCAGGCTAGGAAGTTTAAGCGTTGAGAAATATTCTTAGATAGTGTTTTATAAAATATACTTTAGTAAATTTAAGACACTGTATTTGGCTAACTTAGATTTAAAAATCTTAGACGTTTTTGGTGATTGCTACACAGTCAGTCATATTATCCATATAACAGGTAATTGAATTCCCAGATAGTTTAAATGAAAGTTTTGCTTGTTCTACAATTCATGCTATCCTGTAAAAACTTGCCTTTCTTTTACAGGACAACTTGAACCAGATCCTATTCTATTCCATCTATCAGACAGCTAAGTGGCACTTAGCATCTAAGCCTCTAAATGCAATCCTATTTCACCCTGCTCAAGTCCCTGGAAACTGTATCTGCATCTACTTTTTAATGCACCTTCCCCTTAGCTTTCAAACTAAGTTACAAAAAGAGAGAGGAGGAGAAAGCCCCAACCAAGGAGTTAAGTAATTTGAAATAAATTGCATTTTTAACTGATCCTTTTAGCCACTTTGGTGTCTAATTGGTGGGCCAATATATGGTCCTTAATATGTAAGGCAGTTTTGGGAATAGTTTGAATGTAAGCTTTGGCTCACTGTAATCTTCAGGGCCTTCTTCCTCTTATCCAACTTGAAGTATTCACATTGCTGCTGTAACTGACTGTCCCACAGGAAAGCAGCTTCACTGATCTGTTGCTCTTGCTAGAACTAGTGCTTTCAACTTAAAAGCAGGTTCTATTTTAATTCTGCTGTAGCTTTTATCAAAATGAAAAGGATAACACTTCCAAGGAAATAATGGCTGCAACTACCCTTTTAATCGCCTGCTGAGTGTTCACAAAAAATAATCCAACTATGCCACAGCAGTACTCAGTGTTCATCTTATTTTATCTTTTGGCTTCACTTCTCACTTTTGCCCTTTCTAGGCTGAGGATGGCTTGCAGGCCATCTACACATGTCTCTTGCTCAAACTGCTTTTTTTTTTTTAATTCTCTTGCTAGTCTATGGGTAGGCTAAACCCCTGATCTATGTTCTAGTTTTTATTCCTGTTTAAATTGGGGAAAACATTGGCTGTAGTGGTCTTAAAACAGGTTTCATACAAGAGCTATGATAGGGATAATTTAATTCTTTGAATTCTGGAGGTAACAATTTCAATATGCAAATAGCACAAGTGTTTCTCGTTAAGACTACAGTTGAGAACATAGGAATTGCCACGTTCAACTAGACCAGTATTATATTTAGTTCAGTAGCAGCTGCTTTTCAGAAGGGGTAAGACACATACCATACAAAACAACTGAAGAATAATCTGCTGATGTGGAAAGTTTTTCTTAATCTCCATTAGTGAGAGTGGCTTTTGCCCAAAAGCATGGAGAGGTTATATCCCTTCTGAAATACTAAGTTGCACATACTTTTAATTTGTAAAAATGTTCAGTGTTTTTCTTTTTAAAAAAGAATGGATAATTCTGCAGTGACAACATCAGAATGGAGCTCTCTGCCACACCCTCCACGGCGGGATGGCTTTACAGACTTTTGGTGAAATCGGAATAAAATTTAAAATATCTTATGTGGGTCATCTCTAAGGAACGTGAGTTTGATTAAATTTGTTTTCTGTTTGATGCTTGGCTAATGCATCATCAGAAGACTGTGCTATTTCTGCCCTTAGTTGTCCTAACTGATTTGCCTAAAATATACAGCAGTAAGACTTGGTCTTGCTGTTGAAACTTAGGGCACCTATATAGGCGGATTGAGGCTGCTCCGACACGCTGTAATTACAGCGTGTCAGAGCAGACTTGATTAATCTGACACGCTGTAATTACTACGCTCCAGCAGACTCCAGCATCATGTGTATCAGCGTTCCCACGGTGAAAAATGGTGGTGGGGGTACTTTAAAGCTCATTCGACAAGCTTTAATTAAAGCACCCCCGCCACCATTTTTCAGCTCAGGGACACTGATACACATGACGCTCTGGGTGTTTTAGTGGCTCTTCGCTCAAAGCCACTCTAATTAAAGTGGCACTCCCCTTCCTCCTGCTCCCAGAGCACGTGTATAAGGCGCTTAGTGTGGTCTTAAAAAGGAATATACGTTGGAAAAATAGGGGCACCCACAAAAAGATACCGTCTCTTCTATGGGATCTCTCTAACGTTTCATTGAGATAATTCCTGTTTTTCATATTCTGATATTATGGTGTAATGCTATTTGTTGCAAACACTAACTTTGATGTTATTTTAAATTATGAGGATTTACTTTCTAGGTTGATTATAAGTTGGTTTTTTTTGGTGGGGGGAGGGGTTGTTGGGGGTTTTTTTGGCTCTCTCAACTCATTTAGCTATCAAGAGGGCTCACTGCCTGATATTAGTTGAATTTATGAAGCAATTGAAAAATACACTCCTGAAGAGCTGTTATGATGTTATGCCATTTCCAGAGGTGTACCCTACTGGCAGAAATCAGAGATGAAAAAAATCCTTATATCCTACCATAGTCCTCCTGGCTTCAGCAAATGCCCTTTTCTCTTCTTCTATGCGTCGTCTTGCTTCTTCTTCTGCTTTCCTTTTTTCCTCTTCTCTCCTCTGTCTTTCTAACTCCTCAAAACTGAGTTTGAGTTTACCAGGACGGAACTCTTTGATAGAACTTTCAGCTGCTTTATCGTACTCTTCATCATTTGCCTTAAGGAAGAAACGATTTAGAAATTCTTTCCTATCAGACTTTTGTATAAAAAAAAAATATTCTAAAAAACATTCCTGATTGGAATTTTCTATGGTAATTTTTTCTTACAGATAAAAAATTCTTAAGAATAAAATGTCTTGGGTTTCAGCCACAGGGAAGAAAGAAAAGCTCACTCTAGGACATGTGTAAACCTCAAGTCCATCTCAAACCCTATACACTCCTTTCCCTTACTCTGCTCACCTGAATGCTATGGCGTTTAAGGTGCTCAGTTAAATTGTAGATATCTTATTTTATTTGATGGTAGTTTAATAATGTACACTTATGCTGCAGATACAATATTGCACTAGCAGAATGTGGACTTGATTTATGTTTTAAGGGTAGGATAATTGTGATGTCAATTTGGGAGAACGGTGACAATTCAATTTAGGGAACAGGCCTAATACTGAGTAGTAAAACATATGTTGCTGTATTTGATATTATGTTGTTAGACATTTTGTAGTTGTGTAACCTTAATGGGCCTTTTGCTTGTATGAAAACAGATAGGATGGTAGTCTCTAGTTGCACGTAAATTACTTTCCCTCAGATGCAGATTAGTTAGAAAAGATTACAATTGTTTATTTTCCTAATACAACATTAATAGAATTTACTTCTAGTGCAAATTGAGATTGTCATTTCTGTTCTTCCAGAAAATGAAACATCAGTGAAGAGTGGAAAGAAGCAGCTTCAGCTTTTTTGGTGTTGCCCTTCTCCATTATTATTAGCAATAGAAGTTTGGGAATTTGCAGATTGCAAATAAGAATGAAAGCAAGCACTATCCTTGGACTATTCCTTTAATTATTGTGTGTCTATGGAGAAAATGAATGCATGAACTATGGAGCAGTACTCCAGATGGCTATACTGTCTAACCATCATGGCAATGGGCTGCTTGTCAGACAGCTGTGAAAGTTATAAGACTTCAAGATTTTGATTGGAATTACCACAGTGGGTTTGTAATGATAATACTGGAAAGCTGTCCCCTTTAACATCAAACTAATGACCCTAATGTCAAGCACTTGAAAACCAAAGATGGACCAACCTACAGATTTTGGCTCCAGGATCAGATCTGGATTTTAATCCTATACATATATTTGGAGGCTTTCTGCTTTTGATCACCACCAACTGGATTCTACTGTAAATTTTCAGGGTTTCAATGTATTAGGGTATAAGTTTGCATAATTCTATATCTTTTAAAAACAGCACTGTAAAGCAATGTCACCTCAAGCATCACATTTTGTCTGGGATTAACGTAGCAGAATCAAACTGGTTTTGATCAGTTTGACTCAGCTAAGCCATTTACACTGTCAAATTGTTGGGCCTTCACACATGCAGGACAGAAGTGAACAGGCAGGGATTGTTTGTCTGCAGCAGTCCCAGGCTCACAAAGGAGGCGTTGGAGCTCTGGCCTTAAAGTACCACTGACAATAACAGTCAAAACGTGGGTAACCGTGACTTACATAATGTTTAGTTTTAAAAAATACTGATACCCATAAGTAGGGATTTACCAAACTTGAGGAGGCGGCTGGCCAATTTCACAGGCAGATCGTGTAACTGGCTGCCATTTTTGTAGAGTTGAGTGTGGCAGGGCCCCATCACAGCTCTGATTGGCCGAGAGGCCCCGGCAGTCCTGCCCTTTACCACAGATTGCTGGATGACCTAAAACGGAAGTTTAATTACCCTGATTAAGCCCAGAGAAGCCATTCATCCATGTTTAATAATGCGTGGATTAATGGCTTTCCTTAGCTTAATCAGGGTAATTATGCTGTGGTTTCAGACCATCCGCAGGTGGGGAGGCTGCAAGCAGCTGCCCCAGGGTTTCAGGCTGACAGGCAGGTAGCTGGGAGGCTGCAAGCTGCTGTACCAGGGTCCAAGGAGCTTCAGCCCAGCTCATTGCTGGCAGTGGGTGCATGTGTGCAATGAGGTGGGCCAGGGCTTCACAGATCCTAGTGCAGCTGCTTGCAGCCTCCCTGCTTGTGCTGCAAGCAGCCCCTCTCCTTGCCCATGCTCCAAGACTGCAGGGCTTTCCACCCTTTTCTCTGCTTGCTGGTAAGTTTGGTTCTTGGGGTTTTGTTTGTTGGTTTTTTGCAGCGAGCCCACCATTTTTTGCAGAGCCTGCCCAATGTAACATTTTCCACAAAAATATTAAAGTATATATTTTAAATATATATTTATGTATATGTGAATGTGAAAGGGCTAAGTTTTTCACATTCCCAAAGTGTAGACTTTAAGAACGCCAAAAATCACAGGAGTTGGCAATACTGAAACACGCAATAGCAATTTCAGTAGGTCCGTACCCATAAATATGATAAATTTATCACAAGTAGTTTAATTTCAATGACTATAGAATTCCCTAAGAATAAAAATTAGATTCAGTTTAGGAATAAATCAAAATCTCTTCATACTCTTTTATACAACTGTTGTTTTGATTCTAAAGATACTAAAAGGTAGTTTTACAAGGTACTGCAGTATGATATAATGCAGAAACTTTTTGTAAGAATGGCTGTGAATGTTGGCACACTTTTAAGAACAGGATGTTTTATACATATCAGAAGATTGTTTAAAAGACTATGAATCAATACATAGAATAAAGTCAGAAAGTATATTTTTAAACTGATGGTGACATCAACGCTAACCTGTGAATAGTTAACACCTCATGGTAAGTCTAACAGTTTGAAATAAAATCCAGGTATAAAAAAGCAAAAGAATTCAGATGCATGAAAGGGCGTACTTGTATCCAACATAAGCAAGAAACTTCCATAACTGTGAATAAAGCATTAATTTACCATTTGTTGTCTAGCTTCTTCAAAGGCGCGTCTTTCCTCTTCTAAACGTTGTCTTGCTTCTTCCTCTGCTTGCCGTCTTTGATTTTCTTGTCTCTGTCTTTCCAATTCTTCAAATGTTACTTTCAGTTTCCCAGAAGACAGGGGTTCACGTCTTTCAGTGTCTTCATTTTCATCCTATATAACAAACAAAGCCATTAATTAAATACAGTTTTAAACATTAAACTCCTGTTTCCTAAGAATTATTTACAATGATTTATTTACCATGACAAATGAAAGACACTTGGCTTCTTTTAGAGATTGTTTCTGTTCCTCATATCTTAATTTTTCCTCTTCATGCTTTCTTTCTTCTTCTCTTTCTTTTCCTACGTCGTCAGCACTTATTTTCATCTTTCCAGGTGTTTTGTTAGGTTTTACAGGCACTACTGTCACCAGCAATGAATCGTCTCCTTCCTATTGTTAAAAATAAACTTTTTTCCATAAATATTGACTTTGAAGTTGTCTGTTTGCATGTGGAACTGCCATCGTTACCTGTATTTGCCAAAGTTTCCAAAAGTACAGTGAGAGGTGTACTATGAGCAGAACTAGTACCCAACACAAATCCCATCTTCCAGTGCTACTGACAGCTGTTAATTTTCTTCTGACAACAGAAGGCCCTGAAAACAATTCTGTTTTAAATTGTAAATGTAGTTGGCAAATGTGCAGAGAACTTGGAGTATCTTCATTGACAGGTGAACTTATCTACAACTATCTGTAGCTGTTCAAAATTTCAGCAACTCTTGTTTGAAGATGTAGCAAATGCAAGTCCATCCCAGTTGTAAAGTGTTATGTCTGACATACACTCTGCATAGAAAAAAGCCTGTGAAGAATGTTGCTTCCAATATCTTTCTATTCGGAGAGAAATATGTGGCTAAAAATAGTCTGTGAAGTAACAAGCAGTCTGCAATTTTATTTAGGCAAAGCACCCATTAAAGTCGATGGGAATTTTATCTTGGCTAAGAAGTCTAAGATTTCTGAATGCATTTGCATGTCCAGTCACAACAATATCTAGGTTCAAGCCATTAGTAATTTTTTCAAGAGATAAAAGTTGTGCAGTATTCAAGTGTCTGATTATAGCAATGCTGACATCTCATTTCAAGAACATATGGAGGTGTCTTGCAAAAGGAATTAATATATATTAAGTATCCTACAATATGGTTTTATGAAAATAAACCAAATACAATTAAAGAGATACTGCCAAGTAATTTCTCTTTATTTATAAACGTCAGAACTGCCTTTAGACACTTCAGTAAAAATAGTAGGGTTTTGTCTAGCTTTTTTTTTTTTAATATAAACATCCCCTTGTTATGCTGAAAATACAACCACAAAGTATTTTGTTAGCACATAAGTAAAACTCTGCTAACAAAATAGGCAGGTTTGTTTAGTCAATATACACTATCCAAGCTTAAATTGCAATAAGTAAACCAAAACATACAATTGTTAAGCTTTCATTGCCATTTAACATGCTTACATTGACAGTATCCCTTTTTAATTTAAATCTTATCAAAGGCAAAGAGCTTTAAAGGTGATTTTTTTTCAAAGCCACCAGTAATTTAGATGCCCATTTCTCCTATGGGTATCCAAAACATTTTGGTAGCTTTAAAAGTCTAAGTCTTAGCTACTCTTAATACTGTTTTTTCTTGTAGCTTTTCATAGACAAATAAGTTTTAAACTAATTTTAAAACTAGAATAAGTTAGCCTCAGCTATAGTTCCACAGTTACCAAGCTCCTTCTATGCAGCGCAAAAAATATTTCTTCAGGTACCTGGTCTTGTTACAGAATTTTAATGAAAAGTTAAGTGCATCCCTTTTTGTTACCTTATTACAGCAATAAAAACAAAGTGATAAGAAGTAAAAAGGTAGGTGAATGTGTCTTTGAAAAAAATATCTGATTACCTCCGATGCTGATTCAGTTCCCGTATTGTTTAAGTCCTCAATCTATTAAATGAGAATTTCATAGAATTACATTACTTTCGCTCTTTGCCTTGAGTTTTCAAACATAAAAATAAAAATATTTGCATCAATCATGATATGTATGTTGCATTTAAGTTTACAAATCTTTAGGATGAACTGGAGAGACTTCATTCTCAATGCATTTCGCTGTCTGATTTCAACCTGACATCAAATGTTAATGCATAGATTGTACACCATGTTCTAACCCACGGGGTGCGTCTACATGTGATGCTACATTGCTGTAGCAGCACACTACGGTGACACCACAAACCGTGACACCACAGCTACGTCACCGTAGCAACGTGCTCCCTCAGTATAGTGCATTGCTATGGTGACGTAGGGGCGAAAACCATGCATCACTGGCATGGCACAGTAACAGCTGTTACTGTACTATCGTTTAGTGAGCCTCTTGGAAGTACTAAATGATGGTGCCATAACAGCGCCATAGGGGCGTGTAGACATGCCCACAGTGTTGGTCCTGGGACAGTTCTGAGAAATTCAGTTTACTATACTAGGAAATGTAAAGTCCAAATCTAGCATATCAATGTGATGCAGTATTTGAAATGCAGTGCATTAATACAGATTTCTTGCATATGTGTTCCATAACTATGCAAAAAACTACTGAGGCAACCTGTTGCCTATCAGAGTAATTTGATCCTTCCCTGCCAATCCTCTTTACAAGAAAGACCATCTTCCCTACATTCATTTTATAGTCTTGACATGAGTTTTTTATTTTTTACTTTTTTTTAATTAGTATAGCTGTTTTTCTGAGTACGGATGTACATAGTTCTATTTTGCAAAGTAACTAAACTTGAGAACCGATAGTGAAAGAGTATTAACATTCAGCAGAATTTACACAAGTTAACAATGTTATTTCAACAGAAGATAGTAGCTAAGCTATTGTTAGATATTCACCCAATAAAAATGCTCTTCTCACTTTTGAGGAAAAACAGATCTCTGGTTAATTAAATACTTGCTTATGGTCTTAGACTATGCACTGAGACTGTTAGGACCAGATTCAGAAAAGGACTCAGATGCCTAAAGCCTGCCCAAATCCAAGCCTGCAATCCAAAAACACCTACTTAATTGCTGTCTAACCCTAACCCTTGCTAAGTGTCTGCCTCCCTGTTGGTTTTGAAATTTTCTAGGTGTCTCCAGTTCTACTTCTCTGCATGGCCAAAACTGTCCTGGTCCAAACAGTATGGTGCCTAACTCTTGCCTAAATTCCACTGGGAACCAGAAACCAGCACTCTGAGGAGCCTGATGTGAGTACAGCTACCAAAGGCCTGGCAGGATCTAGTTCTCAAAAACAAGCCTGCTGAAGTTGGGCCACTGAGGAGAAAAGAATGCAAGCCAGAGGTAGGGCCAGGCTGTAATCTAGTGTTCAGGCTTTTGCTGATAAGTGGGGAGTTGGGAGTTCTAGTCTAACCTCCCAAACTTGCTTAGGTACTTTATATTAAACAGCCACGGGATTAAAAACAAAAGTCATTCAGAGAAGAGAGGCCGAAACTCAGCACAGGACAGTCCTGGGTTCTAGTCCAACTCCCCTGGATTATTTGTGTGCTTTCTCACCTCTCCCCAGCCCTGACATCCCAATAATGTTAACACAAATCACACAAACAGTCTTGAGAGATCAAACCCACAACTCCTCATTACCAGGTAAATGTCTAACCACTAGGCTACAGCAGCTAACCCTTTTGTGTGCTTTCTTTTTTTGGCCCAAAGAATCTTGCACTTCTGCTTGCTGCCCTGATGGAGGTACCTCTTCTCCCACTTTGGAGAGGAGCAGGGGTTCAGAATCATCCCACTGCCTACTGACTCCTATTGGTTAGCTGCTCAGCCTGAAGGCTTTTCAAACTGCTCTTCTGAGATGACTAACTGCCCACGCGCTGTCAAAGCAGTCTCTGTGCCCAACTCTGCATTCTGGACTCCATTCTAGGAGCTTGGAACTACAAGCCAGGCATTACATAGCTTAACTTTGCAAGTGCCTAAGCTCCTTACAACAGGGAGAGTGGGGAAGGAGAGGACAGACCTCATTTCTGAGTTCTAAAAAAGATAAAATTAGGCTTGAGGGCATCAGTTAGAGTTGGAAGATAGCCATTTCAATATTTAACAGTATTGATATCCACAATGACAGAATAAAACATGATTGAACCATCACCCTTGTAAGTTAAGTAGCATTTATTGTACAATTAATCTACAACAGCACTTATAAGTCATACTCAGTAATACACTTGTAAGCAGAAAGTAGCATCTTGTGTCTGGAACAAGGGCTTACCCTTGTTAATATAAGGAATTATTTAAAACTGACTTATTTGACTCTATAAACTTAACTGTAAATCCAATCCCAGGTCTATACCAAGCCTGCACCTGTCTGGGTCACCCCTATCCCCATTTTTAATCAGTACCAGGCTTTAGCCATAACTCAAATTCAATATTTAACAAAATGTATATCCCAACTACTACTCCCATAAGTTTTCTTCAGGGGAAGGAGTTTATCTCCACATCCATTTTCTCCTTCATAGACCGCAGTCTATTTACCTGCTGTCAGAAACCTAAATCAAATCCTCATGTTGACCTGTGGATCAGTGCAAAATAGGTTTGTGGGTTTTTTTTCCTACTTGCTATGTACTTACTATTTTTATTTTGATCAAGATAAACTTACCTCCTGGGCTTTTTTTGCCAATTCTCTCTGAATTTTCCTTTTCTCAATCATATCTTGTTCAATTCTACGCTTTCTTTCTTCTTCCATTCTTTTTCTTTCTTCTTCTTGTCTTTGTTTCTCCATTTCTGCATACTTGCCTTTAACAGTTCCTATATATATATGAATGACAGAATGTAATAGTTTTATCTAATATTTAAGTCTCAAATTACGTAATCTTTTAAACCAAGTTTCTTACCAATAAGCTTTGGAACATAAGCTTTCTCTGTTTTAGACGTGTCATCTTCTTCATCAGAAGCGAGCTGTTCTTTCATCTAGTTAATTAAACAGAGAAAATAAACTATCTTTAAACATTAGAATACAAGATGCCATTGTTACATAAGATGATACAAAAAACTGAGTCTACTTATTTTCATTACCTTGAAAAATTTAAAAAATGAATTTAAAATTCTTACATAAAATACTGAACATTAGAATAAAATAATTAAAGCAAAAATATTTGCAAATAAAATGACCTCCTGCTTTCTCCTGTTCCATTCTCTCTCTCTAACATATTGTTCTTTTCTTCTTTGCTTTTCATCTCTAGATCTCCTTTGATTTCTTTCTTCCCTTGCTTTCTGCATAGCTTCAAATTTATCCTTTACATCACCCTTGCGAAGTTTAGGCACATAGGATTTTTGGACAGGTTTAGATGAAGAAAGCAGAATCTTGGTGAAAATAAAGGAGAGATGAAGATAAGAAAAAGAAAATTGAAACAGATGAAGAGAAATTATGTGATATAGACTGAATTAGAAAGAATGTAAGACTCATTAAAACAGAAAATACATATGAGATAATGATATTGTGCCACTAATGTCTACTGTTTGACTTCATCATATTTGTTTATAATCAAGTAGCAATAAACACTAAGAAATAACCTAGGTTTTTGTTAGATTCAACTACAGGAGTCCCATTTAATGGGTGAATATGTAGTTAAAACCTTGAAGTTTGAAAACATGTCCTTTTGGTGTCCATATAATTATAAAGTACATTTCCATATCACTGCTTTAGAATTACATACACCCACAGTGAAAACAAATATATACTTGACTCTATTCTTAGAAGCAAGGCTAGAATTTAGATTTTAAAAATACGCAAAGACATTAGCATCACATTTTCTAATGTGCATTTTTGGGTTTTTTGTTCAACCTTGTAACGAGTCGTCATTTCAAAATAGAAAAGGATTTTCTTATTTCCTTTAAAAATGTAAGCACATGATAGTAATAGGCAATCATTGATCCTCTGGATCATGGTGAATGCTGAAGAGGTCTAGTCAGGTGCTTGATGAATCCACTTGTATAGAGCCCATCACACCAAGACCTTCAACGTGTACATCTTGATAAGAGTTTGGAGGAGTGGAGGCTGCCCAAGACCTACCATCCCCCCTTTAGACCACTGAGACAGAATCCAAAGACCGGACTGAGTCCAGATGTTCAGTGTCTCGATGGTTGTAACTTCTGCCAGAGAGCAACAGATAAGACCTGTTGCTGACTGCCTAACACCTCAATGAGGGTGCATTTCTGTCAGGGTGATGCCCCTTAGCCTATCTCCAACCAAGGAGTACCAACAAGGCAGTGGGGACTAGGGGTTTGAAACACCCTATGCTTGCTTCATTCTGGAGGTTGCAACATGTGGGATTTTACAGGAGCTACCCCACCACTAGTAGCCCCGCCATGTTGCCACCAGGCCCTCCAGTCAGCTGCAGCTTACGGTCATACCCAGAATCAAGCACATGATATCTTTAATAGTAAATTAATATATTTATATTTTAACTGATTTATATTTTAACTTAATAGGTGTGTACATTACAGCTGAGATACTAAGCTCACTTGTCTAGTGGGGACCTGTTGTAGATATGGCTATTTCTATGCTCTCCTAACCTTTCTGTTAGGTTCCAGTTAGCATTTCTGTTGGTTCCAGTTAGCGCACTGTACACGCTTCTTACACATCTTCAAGGGCTCTGTCACTTTATATTTTGGTAACACATAATTTGTCAATAAAGAAGTACGAGTCAGTGGAAAACATGACTGAAAGTGCTGTTCTGTGTTTGATGTGCTTCTCATCTCAGTACTACATGATATCACAGTGTCAGCTATACTTGCTTTCATTCCTGTCACTGAGTTAGCATCCAAAACATTTTCTAGCAAAATTAAAATATTGTAGTCTTCATCATTTTTATCCTCAGCACTGTACTATCTTCCCTATGTTGTATCCTCACTTTGGATATTCACTTCCAGGTTTATAGAAAATCCAATGTCTTGGTTTTTTACACTGGCAAGAAGCCCAACACATTCCAGCAAATCAGATAACATGCCTTTTTTCAATCAAGTTGTTCTTTTCAAGTGCTTCTCTAGTCTTAAAATAACTGGGTACATTGCCTTTCCTTCTAGGGAGCTTTTCCTCTATTAGCCATTTGTAGCTTGAGGCTTAAAACACCAATATTTGTTTTTTTGTCAGTATCATTTGTAAATTACTACATGAATTAGAACATTTAAAATTTGATACATACCTCAGCCTTTTGTGCAATGTCATTCATAGTTGCTCGTGTGATCTGACAAGATACTTTTCAATTTTTACCTAGAAGAGATCATTGCATACCTGCTTAGAAAGACTGATGCTTTAGCTGGAGCTTCTATCACCTTTTCTATAAAAAAAAAAGCTCGTGTACTTAAAATGCCGTACCACAACTTAATCTAACCAACATACAACCGTATTTAAATGCACTGTGATTCAGTACTTGTGATATTTCTTGTAGGAAGCTCAATATTTGTGATACTAAAATTCAGAGTTACATGATATTGTGATATGTAATTCAATATTTGAACACGTCATAAATATTTCAATATGTATGAGGTATCAACATTTATCTAAAAATGATAGTTTCTTCTAGTACTTTTGAAGCGATAATTGTGCATATTGTTATTACTAATGGGGGGGAAGAAGTTTAAGTGGAACTTGAAGGACACAGGTATAACTTCTTTCTGCACCATAAACTTCCTATGTAACCTTGGGCAAATCACTAATCTTTTTGTGTTTGTTTCCCATCTGTTAGCAACATTTTCCTATCTCATGAGAAGACAAGAAGGGGGTTATATACAGCATTTACTCAAATCCAAGATGAAGTTTTTTCCTTCATTCAACATGGAGGAAAAAAAGCCCCTCATCTTGGATTTAAGTACAAAGTGCTGGGTCAGGGCCAGTCAGAGCCACAGCAGCCCCTGCCCCCTCACACCCTCAATCTGCCCCCTCCCACTCCACCTGCCTCAGTCTCTTCCCCCTGCTGTTCACTGTCAGTCACATCTTTGGCCCCATTTTGGCATTGAGCATATGGAAAGTCTGGCCCTGGCCCGGCTACATGGCAGCGGTGGCAGTAGCTTCAGTGAGGCTGGAGCTCTTGTTACTGCAACTACCTGCCCGGCCATGTTGAGGCCAGAGCTTCCATGTGCTCTATTCCCTGAGCCAGAACAGGGCCAGAGCCACACCTGACAGTAAGTGGCGGTGGGAAAGGGGGGGCAGCCCTTTGTCCCCTCCTGCAGCCTGCCCCCTACTACTGTAGCAGTGGAGAGGGGCAGTTTTAAAATTACGCTCGGATAGATTCTATACATGGAAAATTGTTACAAATTTTCCATGTATAGAATCTAATTATTGGAGGTCATCTTAAATTCAAAGCAGTCTTGAATTCGAGTAAGTATGGTAAATTTGTTAGATTAATGTGGTCTGAGAACCAGAAATACTGGTTTCTTGATCATTTGTTCAATGTTTAAAATGCACTAAATGTGTTGGGAGCCTGATCCAAAGCTCATTAATGTCAATCGGAAGGCATTTCTTTGTTTTAGTGGGTTTTAGATATAGGCCTAATACAGTGTTGCCAAAGTTTGTGGGATAAAATTCTAAAATAGTTCTCCTCGCATGTATGAGTTTGTAATTAAGAGAAATGGGGGATATTTTTCCTCCAGCAACTTTTAGCTGGGTGGAAGCAATGCCTTCTCTTCCAACTGAAGGGACTATAAGAATATGAGCTTGCTTTGAGAGGCTCTGCTGAGCACACGCTCTTTCCTACCCCCAAGCTACAAGGCTTGTTAGGCTGCAGCCTTTTCCTGGCAGGGATTGCTGTGTTCCTCCTCCTGGCAGGCAGGAGCCTGCACCCAGCTGAGCATCGTTTTTCCTGGGCCCCACCTAAACTGACTCGAGTGTTGGTTGAGCAGGAGGGACCTGAAGCTTTAACTGGCTTGGATAGTAGTTTCCTTCTTTCCTTTTAGGAGGACATGGACAGCTACATGGGAGGCAGGGGCAGCTTGGAGTGGAGGGTGGGGAAAAGGCAGGATTTGTGGAAAAGGGAAAACCAGGGTGACAGTGTGAGTGGTGAGGTGAGTTTCGGGCAGACAGAAGAGCAGTTAGAGGGACAGCAAGGGGTAGCGGGAGCAGGAGAAAGAGACTGTTGGGGGAGACACACTAGAAGTCTGATGAGGAAGAGGAGAGGCTGGAGGGGATTGTAGAAGTGAGGTGTTGCATGGTCCCTGGAGACTCTCAGCACTGGGCAAGAGTCAGTCAAGATAAGCATCTGAGGCAAGAGAAATCCAGTGTAACTTGCTGCAAGGTTTATGTATTTTGTTGTCAGGAAGGCTTGGAAGAAAGACAGTTAGTCTTGAATTATCTGGAGTAGAATGAATGGGGGAGAGGAGGAGGATTTCTGCCTCCTCCATAGGATTTGAAGTATTATTACCCCAGTGATCACAAGTACATGCAATGTCAGGGCAATGTTCTCTACTTAGAAGCAAACTATGTACTTATTCAATATGCATAATTATATAGCATGACTCTGACCCCAACTTTTTGCCAATTGTTTATGCTACACCAAACAATAGTTATTTCCATGTTAGTCAAAAATTAAATTGCACAAATGCATCAGCTTTTCAACTCCATGCTCTCTTTGTAAGGCAATTGTAAGCTAACTGCATAATTGATTAAAATAACTAAGAACCAGTTTCAAGAGGTCTAAAGCAGCCTGGAGCTAACTAGATTCCACACATTTCAGGGTGTTGTTAGAGGCATAAGGCATTGTGAGAACAAGGTCGCTAGCCTTAATGAGATGCAAAAATCTTATCCCAAGCTGTTCCTATGTAATGAGCATTGTTTATACTGAGTTTGTGTACAAGCATATGCTGGGGAAATGCTAAGCCTTTTTTTCAGTCCCATATAATAAGTACAATATGTAGTCTCATTTATGGTGCTGTGAAACCTGTTTAGTGAGGGAAATATATATTTTATGGTAAACCACAGTTTAAATGTTCCCTAGAAAATGCTGCATTTTGCTAGTGTCAGATCATTATGCCTTCTCTCTCTAATATCAGAACTCTTTGTTCCGATTAGTGAGTGTTTAGTCCAAGTCATAACATATAGAATAACACAACCTGCACATCTCTCCAGCAGGAAGTTCCACAGGGGACCCTGCTAGTCCATCAGGAAGTCAGCAAATAGAGAAACTGAACCCAAGGAAATGCAGGATGCCACCTAGGGCTTTAGGAGTTCACAAGCCATTTGCATGGAGCTGGTGAGAAGCAGGGTAGGTTTGTATCGCATTTGGTACACTGTCTCTGCTTTGTAAAGGAGGATTCAGTGGGGATATGCAGATCATGTTTTTGAAGCAAGGCAGGAGGGCATTTTTTCTTTTTTTGCACCCTGTCTCTGCACAGGAGGGTGAAGGGATCATCAAGGATTAAACCAGAAATGGACATAAAGTAAAGACAATAAGAGATGGTGGTTAGTCAGTGAATTCAAAGATGTTTCATGGTTGGTAAAGAAAACCAGTGGAATTACAAAACTATATTCACAACGTATAAAGAAATGGATTTGTTGATACCGTGAACATTATGCCAAATTACATTTTTACCTGTTTTCAATTTGCCATGGTGTTAGTAAATGCATATGGAAAAGAAACCATACCTGAGGCAACTATAATTGTTCTCTCAACCCAGTGTCCTCACCTACTGCTTTCCTTGCATGGTAAGATTGTAAAGCTTTTATCTGTGCCTTAATACCTGCCTTCTTAAAAGGACAGGTTCTGGGGTCCAGAATAATACAGCAGTGCTGTCTTCCACAGTCACATGTTGAGCAAGAGCAAATGCTATACTTCTTATGCTAATTTCTTGGTTTTTATCAAAAATAAACTAATTGTTGAAGGACTTAATTGTAGAAATTAATATGCTGTTCTGATTTACAGTACAATCTCAGTATTCTGCACTGACTGGGAAACTCCTTGGAAATTTATGCATTACCTCATGAGAATTGACAATAAATGATTTTTGTTCCTCGTTGATCAATGTGCTTGTCGCACTCATATTGAGAATATATTTAGCGCTTGTACCTGTATTCACACTGAGAACATAATTATTTAGCTCTTGTAACTTTATTATTTAAATAAAGTATTATATAAAAGTCCCCAAAGTGAAAACAGCAAGGGAAGTGGTGAGATCTTCTGAAGAGCACAATCTTAATCCATGGGATTTTTCTACCCCTTGAGGTCAGTATAACCCTTGATCAAGACACCTTTGGAGTTTGATGCCAGACCAGTTTTTCATTCAATCTCTTTTTCAGTGACAAACTCTAATGCAACCAGCATGATTCTTTATGGAAGAGAGTCAGCGAGGCTAAGTCAGCTCAGGAAATAGAATAAAAAAGGATGATTTTACAAAAAGAAGAAGAAAAAAATCCTGTTTCTATGGTTGCTGTATTGAAAATGCATTGAATATGCAGGAGAAAAAAATATTTCTATTTCCTTTCAGTTACTAACCTCTTATATTCTACCAGCAATGGCACTAGCTATAATAGGGTGCTCACATAGGTGACATTTTTGTGCATGATTGGGCCCCTGAAAGCACTCTACAGCCCAGAGGTAACACACATGCACAGCTGCAGAGTGCTTTTAAAGTGGCTGATCATGTGAAAAATTAACCCTTGCTGAATCAGCTACTTAAGGCACTCTAAAGCAAAGCACAATACGAAATTTGTATTTCCTTGAGGATTAATTTTTTGGGTGAAGGGCGGGGCTCTCAGTAGGGGAGGGAAGGAAAGGAGCAGCACTCAGCTGCCAGCTGTTTTGCTCGGCCTGAGCTGGAGGTGGAGGGAGTGGAACAGAGCCCCTCACCTCATGGGCCCAGTCTGGCTTCCCCCAATATCCCAGCCAGGGCAGCTGTGGGAGGGACAAGGCAAGGGGGCTCTGTTCCACTTCCCTCTCCAGCTCAGGCTGGGCAAAACAGCCAAGAAGTGGGTGCTGCTCCCTTCCCTCCCTCCTCTATTGACATCTCTGGAGCTGGGGTGGGCAGGGCTGGGGGGAAGAGCAGTTCAGCACCCTTGGGTCCCTGCCTGCTGGCCAGGAGGGTGTAGGCAGGCTTGATTTCCCTCCTTTCCCTCCCCACAACCTAAGAGTCAAATGTCTGCTGCAGGGGAAGGGGGCAAAGGGCTCTAATCCATGGCCACTATATGAAGCCTCATGAGTTCAAACACGGACTCTACATGAACAATTATCTATTAGGGCTAGACTAAGAACACTACCATATTTACTCAAATATAAGATGAGATTTTACCATCCAATTATCATGGGGGGGAAAAGCCTCTCGTCTTATATTTGCATATGAAGCAGGGGGA